CCCCATAGGTGCGACACCTCACTTAGGACAGCCCAATATGGCAGTGGCCTTCGTCTCCATAGGCACAAGTATAAGCAAGAGCTATATTTATATACCATACCTAATAGTAACTATACACATCAAGCATTATCACTTGTAGAAGTACACGCTGTCTGGGAAAACATGCTGTTAGTTTCAGAAAGTACAGCCACTTAGAAGAGACTTAGCTGAAAAATGAAATCACTGAATAGAAAATTAAGTTCTGTTTTGCTCAAACCGGGACACTCTGCATTGCCCTGAGCTCATCTCAGATGAAGAGCACTTGGTGTCTGAGTGCTGCTGTCCCTGAGCAAAATGCATGGCACTCTTGTTTACTAAACTTGAATGCCCTTCGTGCTTTAAATTTTCATGTCTTACACAGGATCAAAATACTAACACACGTTGTGGGCCAAACTGTCGGTAACCATGTGGATTATCCAGGCTCTGGGCACTTAGGGGACTTCAGTGATGGAAACCTAAATACCAGCCATGCTTGCGTGCAGAATAGATTCAGAGGAGTGTTCAGGTCTCCCTCTTAGTGGGACTTGACTGCTTAAGTCTTAGTCCAGGTTTTGGTACCTGTGTTCTTCTAGTTGGCTATTGTGAGGCCAGTGCTTCTTGTTCAATATGATTGAAGAATTTAGGCACACTAAGGAGAGGATTTCATGGTGGTTGGTGTCTCTAGTAGAAACTGGACAAATAAAAGTTGCAAGGCATAGTGATGCCATAAAAGTACAGTGTTGTTCAGTGGGTAGGTAATGTAATGAGCCAGCAGACCTGTTCTGCTCTTTCAAAATATTTGGTACACTTTGTACTTCTGAGGAGTGGGTTGGTAACTGCACAATTCAGAAAGACTGGGAAATTAAGTAGATGTAAAACCCCTTAACCTTAAATAACACAGAAGTAGAAATACTTCAGTCTAATCTTGGGCTGCTAACTTCTGTTTCAAAATAGTGCAAGGAGTCATACAAGAGACATTTGACCACAGAAGCCCTAGAGAACCTTTCTTTTGCAAGTTGACAGGATAAATTTTTTTATTAGAGAAGAATTCAGATAATTTAACAAATTGAATCTGTTTTAAAAAGTTAAATAAATTGCTTCTGGAATTATTCATTACTATTTTATGTTATTTTTGAAATCTAAGCAAGGTAAGTTAAGTGTTGTAAGCTTCAACTTAATAGGTTAAGTTGCTTCAGACAAGGGATTCGGGCTTGGGTTTTGGGGTTTGCTTTTATTTTTTTTATCTTCAGCAGAAATCCTTAGATAATAATTCATTATAATTTAGGTGCTATTACAATATAAGCAACATGATCAACATGGCATGTGGCTGTGGCATTACAGGGTGACCACGCTGACTTTGAAGGTTAATTTGTTCTCATTAATTTGTGTCAGTTCCCATAATTCCTTCTTCTGAGATACTGGGGAAGCAACACATACCAGCTTTGCTCTTACTGAAAAAGTTTATACAAAATGTATCTAAAAAACGTGTGTTCTGCCACTCAAGAACAACATAAAATGTAATGTTATAACATTATGTCATAACAGTAAAAATAGATTTACTCAGCTTTCCATGTTGTAACATGCTGAATAATATAACATGTCCTTTAGTATTAAGATGTGACCTCTATCAATCAAAAATTTATTTTATTGAGCAAAATATTTAAACAACCTATTATGATTGTAAAAATTCTGACTTAGTTTAAAGGTAAACAAATATTTTATACAGGAACATTAAAGAATTAATGCTTTAAAGGGAAACAGAATGTGAAGGTGAACATAGAGGTTTTGCATCCATAAAGGAATTCAGCTGTGACTTGACTGTAATCAAGTCACAGAATCACAGAACGTTAGGGATTGGAAGGGACCTCAAAAGATCATCTAGTCCAATCCCCCTGCTGGAGCAGGAACACCTAGATGAGGTTGCACAGGAAGGTGTCCAGGCGGGTTTTGAATGTCTCCAGAGAAGGAGACTCCACAACCTCTCTGGGCAGCCTGTTCCAGTGCTCTGTCACCCTCACTGAGAAGAAGTTTCTTCTCAAATTTAAGTGGAACCTCCTGTGTTCCAGTTTGTGTCTGTTACCCCTTGTCTTATCATTGTTTGTCACTGAGAAGAGCCTGGCTCCATCCTTGTGACACTCACCCTTTATATATTTATAAACATGAATGAGGTCTCCCCTCAGTCTCCTCTTCTGCAAACTAAAGAGACCCAGCTCCCTCAGCCGCTCCTCATAAGGGAGATGCTCCACTCCCTTAATCATCTTTGTAGCCCTACGCTGGACTCTCTCCAGCAGTTCCCTGTCCTTCTTGAACTGAGGGGCCCAGAACTGGACACAGTATTCCAGATGCGGTCTCATCAAGTCCTTCTGTCACTATGAAGGAGTGTAGGCTGTTGCCCATGAGTTACAGATGGGAGATGCACAGGTATGTTGGTGGAATGGGGCTTTCTGCTTGGCTTCCAGCTCCACCTCTGAAGGTGGTCGTGGGATAATAAAATGTGTCGTGTTC